CATCAAAACAGCGTAGCTGAAGCGTGCGATTTGGACATACTTCGATATTTTGTAGGTTATTTTACCCTGTTTTGCAAGCATGATAAACAGGGTGGCCCAGATGTGACTCGATCCTAATCATTATTAAAAGTTACGAATAAATGAAAGAAAATTTTATTGCTTGGAATTACAGATGTCTTAATTAAAACCATTGTGCATGGAACTGTTAGTAGACCTTGTTTGTTTCACTTTTAGTGTTCATGAGCCTGTCCTTGCTCTGGCCAATTTTGAAATTATTCTCGCTCTCTTTCAATGGAGACGTGGCCTTCATAACACGCAATTAAAAGCTAGAAGTGCATGTTCTTGCAGATTGAAGTTATTAATAATTCGGCCAGAATTATAAAGATATTAAGGATCGTCTAAGTTCTGCAAATATTCCCATGTTACAATTGAAAAGCCAAGTTGACAAACACGGATTTTCCGTAAGTCTTCGTCAGTCCGATACAATTACATGAAGGAATGAAAATGTACAAAATCAACAGTGTTAATAGATGTCTCAAGGGCTATTAAATCATTAACAGTCATCATCCCCACGCCGCCCGCATGACAAGGTCGGCGGATATTGGTCCTAAGAGCTGAGAAATGGGTAAGAGAGTCTTTCAGTGATGCTCTTGGATTGAGTACACGGAGTACCCATCACCGTAATTAGGGATTTAAGGTGGCATGACTTCATCACTTTGGGTTGGCTTTGGCCACGGCAGAGAGAGTGCTTGTGTCAGAGTTTTCTGACAGCATAACGCCGGATTCGCTAACCGTATAGCTACTGCCTCGGCCTTTGATAATATCCGTTGGTGTAGGCCTTTAGAGAAGCATGTTGGTGTCCGGTAGAAAACCTGAAATGCGTCCTTGGCATCGATTCGGTGATTCGTATCGATTAAATGTGCGATAAAAGAACTCGAAATCGACCGGGTCTCACCTCTGTCTAGCCAGGCGGGCATATGTTCACGCAACCTTTTTACCAGGTGTCTCGTTGTGCGGCCTATGTGTCCTGCTTCACAGGGGCAAGTGAATGAATAAATTCACATTGGTGTGGCCTCCAACGGTAGTCTGTCTTTACCCCCAAACGTAGGAGAGGAGAGTTTGTGAAGCATGGTTTACATTGTGAACATTTGTCATAAGTTTGTCGGATAAAATTGTTTTCTATTTGTTCATAAATTTTAATAATAATTGGGATTCGGTAACATCGGTGAAATCTTGTATAAATCTTCCAAATTATTTCTACAGATTTTAGGAAAAAGGGGTAGTGTATGCGATAGTTGGACGTCGAACAGGAATTTTACCATAAGCGATGGGCTACATTAGGTTGTGAAATATATGACGCAGTCTTCCTGGGTTTAAAACCGTGAAACATGAACGGAAACATACCATCCAGTTCATCTGCTTTTACAGGTACCAGTTTCAACTCACTCGTCTGTATTGGCCGAGGTTAAGTTGACTTCCGAGCCAAAATTTGCCAGCAGCTAACACGTCCGGCGAATTCAGTAATATGTGTCAGTTGATGTTTTCAGAGTCGGCGCCCACGAAAAGAAATAACAGTCAATAGATATTCCAGAAAAACGCTTGCTTTTCATAGACTGTGCTGTACGGCGCTTGTTAGCCTTTAAGGGACGTGTTTAAGAATTTTTTCTTTAAAGAACTTCCGTCATTTACAGTAATTTCTTTTTTATTTCTCAAATGCCTGACGATGGCGATTAAAAAGACTGCCTACAAAAGCAGAAGTTGACTTTTCTTTTGCCCCGCTTTCAAGCTTCTTTTTCCTTGAGGGAGGGGAATGTGGAGGAACCGTAGCTTGGCCTTCTGGTGTCTTTGCTAGCCATAATCGGGCTTCAGGGGCAGAAGCCGACGTTTTGTGCGGACATGGAATATTCGGCCCCAAGAAGGCACTACGTATGAATACGCATTATCAGCATGACGACACAGATAGGCCTTGATATTATTATCAAGCTCCAGCCCAGAGCATGTAGGTGAATTGCAAGACGACGAGCAGCAGAAAATCGAAAACGTTACCAAAAAACCATGTAAATTAAAGTAGCCTATTCCAAATAACGGAAAAGAAGGACTTGGGAATCGAACTCGAGCGCATTATTCTTTGAGCATTCATCAGACGGTCTGACAATCAGCCAGTCATGTATGGCCCTAGACGTGCGGCAGTGAGGCCTTGATCTCTGGAACTCAGTACTTTTTAAAACTTACTGATCCAATGAGGATGACTGCATTTATAATCTACAAAAAGATAACTTGCTGAGAAAAAACTACCAGGTTAATTCTTTTAACCTGCAGAAGCTCAGACAAAGGCACAGGAAACTGAGATGGTCTTTTTTGGCTGATTATCTCTTGCTAACTCTACATGTCCAGCCCCGATTTTGATAATTTGCGTTTCCGACCGGTACTCTTTTTTAATTCGACGTTAAGTCTGACGTTCTACTATTAAACCGCGGACCAACTGCTCTCTTGTCTGTGATCAGGAATAACAATTGTGTTGAGAGGGCCATTCACAAATGCGGTAGCTCATCCTGCTTGCCCCGATGTGTTTCAGAGCCGAATTAATGACTCAGAGTGGTACTGAAGGCTCAAGAGTCAAAGATTTCTGATTCTAATGAGACATTCACATAACACGCTCAAACTGCGTTCGGGAATACTATTTTCTTGAAAACAAACTAAGTGCATTTCCGCGGGTAGATCTCCAGTGTAGTTTTCAAATTCATTATGAAAATTTATGCCAACGCTGTATGAACTCTTGTTAACATCACGAATTCCTCCACCTAACCCACACATCTCCCATTGTAATTTATTGTAATTCACGCGTTATTTTTTAGTGAACGTTGGCGGTCTACCGCTTTGTATGTTTTTGGGGCAATCTGTTTTGTTCATCTGATCCATATGTGAAACAAAAAAGAGACCTCGGCGAAATTCGAACTCATTACATTAAGAGCAAGGATTGAGTACAAACACAAGCCTATACCTTGAGGTTTGTCGAAAGCGAATCCCGACGCTGCCTCTAGAGTAATCCCAGCGGTTTTCGCCCGGCATCGACAAAGTGGCTTGGTGATCTGTTTATAAAAACCAGTGTATGGTTATTCATGTGGCGCAGGTAACAAGACCGCTGTCGCCCGAGGCCGAATTGCGAAGATTTATCCCCAGTACACCGAACTAATCCCACCGTGTTGAAATAGAAAAGTCAAATAAACGCGACTGGCATGTGAACTAGCAAACCTACTTCGGTCGTCTTGCGTCTTCCGCACAACTTTTGTCTTATGCGTCGAAATGGGTCGGAGTTTAGACACATGCCATCTCCATATGTAACTATGCCAAACGTTGACGGTACAAATAAACGCAGAACATTGGGGCGAAGAACACTCTTAGATGAAGTACAAGGAAATGGGATCCGCATGATTATCAAACAGTGTCGTCTAAAAGACTGTTAAATGCGCCTGCTATTTATTACCGTAGCAAAGATCTCAAGAACCACAGATTTCTGCATTAATGCCCCATCTTTAAGCCAATTCATTTTTCGATAAAAAAATTGATTTATATTTTTAGGGCGCAAAACCATTTACGAGCAGCTGGCATGTCCAGAACCATCGCCTCAGCGATTATCTATGGCGTTCCGTTAAAACTTTAAAGACATATCGTTAATTCGAAAAAATTATTGAGACGCGAATGTTGAAACTCCAAACGACGTGCGATTACCAAAATTCCCTCTGCTTCTATCTCGCAGGTCTATCGCGAATTCGCCGAAGCATTGTATTTGTTCTGAGAGGCAAGATACAAAGCGTGGGAGGAGGCCACTGAATTCCCTGGTTGAAAGTTACTGTAGTGCATGATTATAATAAACGCCATTCTATAAACCAATGTAATGGTTGTACTTGGAATTCTTCAGGTTTATATGAGAAAGTATAATTTTAGGCCAAAATGACTACGGATATGGAGTTTTCACTATCGTCCACAACTTCTCCTCATTGTTCAACCAACTTGTCGACGTTATTCCTATTAAGGCTGTTTGGTCTCTGACCGAGATAATTGGGGAGTTAGTTTTCGACATTTTTATCGCTGTTAAATCTGACACCACCCATTGGGCTTGGAAGGGCCTGGAAAAGATTCTCATTTAACGAAGTAAACTAGAGACTGTGGGATGGATGCAGTAGGACTTCCACGTTGGACTCTTAGTTGATCGCTTAACGAGCGGATCTGTGTGAATTTGAGCGCTGTCATGCAGCATATTCGTTTGGCCCCGAAGCTGGCGGTCGTTGTCTTTGACGCGACTGAACAGCGTGGAGGTTTATGTCTACTGTCTGGCTTTACTCGAGCATTTCATTATAGATTACACCCCTCAATACCACCACACACACATGACGGTCTATTGAGCATGAAAATCATGCGTCAGCGGTGGAATCGCTTGCTCATCGAAGTTTCACCCGCTTCTAACTTTGACTCACGTTGATTTAGAGGCGTCATTTGTCATCGACAGTGATAGAGAAATCGGTTTGCGCCCACGGGTGCATTCCTGCAGCGCAAAAAGACCGACAACTGTAATCAAACGACGATGTGTGTTATTTTCAGATAAAACTCGAGACACATTTGGAATTTTCCCATTATCTTGAAGTAACTGAACATGGTCTGGTGATGCAAGTTCTCTGTTGGTTTGGCGGCTATTTCCGGTACAACACGAGAATATGAACCTGTAGTCGCACTAGACGCGACCTCGTTTAAGGCCACGGTGACGCATTCCATCATTCTCATTTTTGGGGACGCCGCTCTCCCCGCGCCGGATGTCCCCTAGCCCCATTACCATCTTGTTTCAATCCTTCCAACGCTAATTCTGCACTGAATATGGTATTCTCTCAACTGGCGTCCAGAAGATTGCCATCCCACTCGGTAACCGGCCCGAAGGTCGTGTTGGCTAGTGTCTCCCCAACAATTTGAGCTGCGGCGACAAACTCATCCTCCTCCTCCTCCCCCTCCTAATCGTCATCCTCCTCCTCGTCATCGTCGTTCCCATCCTCCTCCTTCTCCTCCTCCTCCTCCACCTCATCCTCATCCTCCAACTGCACTGCACTGTAGATTAGTTCTACTCAAATGGCCGGTTTCTTGTTGTTGTGGCAGCGACTGCGACAAAAGGACAGCGAGGTATACAATATAGTGAATTTCGTCAAGTACAACAAAAAACATGTACTACTCGCGCTATCTAATGTACAGTGTGCTACTTTACTCAGGAAATGCGTCGAAATTTACGAAAGATTGTCAATCACTCGCAAACCGAAACCATTTTTAAATGTATATGATGTATTTGCATATTAAAAACGTTGTAGATATGATAGTAGAAATAAAATAACGTCCAAGTATAATGATTCAGTGGAGGTTACATTAAAATATCGTTTAAAATTGATGTGATTTCATATATGACGGATTGTCTATTGCCCACATTCTGAGTGTAGAGTCCAAAACACTTTTCCAGGGATTCGTGTTATCCTTGACTCGTTTGAGTTAAATAAAAAGGAGTTCAACAAGTGAAACTGGATTTTGCTTGATTTCACCGATGGGGTCGTCGTAGGAACAAAAGATTTCATAAGATGACATGATGTGAGGCTGGTCGGTGCATAATACATTTAAATAGTGTTGACAGGCGTGATCGTAAACATACCATTTTGTGCTTATAGAGAGAAATTTTCTTCCTTTAAATTAATTTAAACTTTTCGTTCGTCTTAAATTTCGTTGAGTTTCAGATCGGTCTCGAAATGTTGCTGAATACTTCATGATTTTCAGTATTTTCACCCAATCGTCCATAAAGACAGATTCTGAATTACACGTCTGTTGAGAGCTGTAAAAAAGATTACACCTGAAGTCATTTACTGGATAAATGAGTGTTCGGGCGCTGTTTCTCAGGAAGATGGTCGTTTGGGTCACATGTAAGCCCTCATTCAAGCATCAACCTTCATTTACGAGAAAAATGGCTGTGCACAACGAAAATCAGCAACGATTATGCCTTCGATCGATAAAAAAACTCTCCTTAATATGTCACCTCTTTAAGAAGTGCTTTATTACTGCACTCCGTTGACGGATCTCTGTGTACTTTGCATTTTTGCACGGTGCTGCCAAGTAAAAACTGGACACTTTTGGCCCTTTCTCTCACGTTCCTAGACTACACTAATAGTTTTTATGGTAAACTTAAGAACGTGCCTTCCTCTATACATTGCGGCCATTCCTACTGTTTTTGCTCGCTTTTAGACTCTGTTCTTCGCTTTTAAATGCACAGCAGAACGCCCATATAAACACTGATATTTTTCTGAAACTACTAATGTTTTGCTCGTTCAATTTGTGAATAAGGTATGCACAGAAGCTAAACCACACGACATGTAGTGTTTCATATGCTCAAAACTTGAGATGACCATTCGGTTGTGGTTATCTTTGTGACATCAGTTTTCCAAACGGTCAAACGAGTTCGGCCCATTTAAACAAAGGGATCCCTATCCCCGTTAGTACTGCACTTTAGGGCACCAAATTGCACCGACCTGCTAATATGACATTTAGGAATTGATGAAACCGCTGGTTTCCCTAAATAACCTCGCAGCCATGGTTTATATACGCCTCTATAAAAATCTGCGCTAAAATACTCCAACGTAAACTTCGTCACGGCATCTCCCCTAAACAACCCACATACGAATACGACCATCGTAACCAACGCTGTCTACCGTGTGCTTCACAGCAAGGAGAAGCTGCCCCGTTGACCTGCGTGTGAATTAGTTCACAGTGAAAGTGAACTTGCACAGCATCTACGCGCTCTCTCCTTCTCCCCACCCGGGCCCGGTGTCAAGACATATTCAAGAAGTACGGAGGTGGGGGAGGGCGCATGTTACTGGCGCGGCCGAACCCCCACCTAGGTGTGCTCCCACACCCCCTGATCCGCAACAAACAGCCGACCGGTATTTTAACCAACAACAGCACCAAGACGGGTCAGAAGGACGAGTATGACTGGACAGCATGCTCACGACCGGCATACCCAGGGGGGGGGGGACGCGAGCGCATTTACCGACAGGGAACTCAACTGCCAAAGAACTGCCACCGCGCACGAGGCTGCGAGAGCCATGGCTTGCTGACCTCGGCACAGCAGACGATCATAGTCCTTAAAGTCCAGACGGGTGATACAGAACGCTGCACTGGGCCTGGGTCAACACCCTTCAAACACTGAGCACACATTTGGAGTCCATCAACGGTTGACTTTATGGTTTGACTAAGGAACGCCTCTAAAACATGATGTATACTCGTGAGAGGGAAGTGAGGGCGTATGTGCCCATTTTTAGTATGTTCGTGAGGGTTCTCCTTGGCATTTGAATTCTGTACAGGATGTTCAGTTGTGCCGGCCACTAAATTCACGCCCATCCTCCATCATTGTGAACTTGTTTTACTAACGGGAATTACAAGACGCAGGAGGAATGAGTGAGGTAGACGCTGCGCAAGCATGTTTGACTTCATATGAGTTTGCGCCAATGACACGACTTCGTTCATCTTCTGGGCCGATGGCGGGCCTAGTTGCCTGTTACAGTTAAAGTGTCCGGTTAGGAAAAATGTAAATATTAGCGTCAAGCAACAGTGGGTAAAAACCCTCCGTTCCTCCTCAGCCATGGTATAGTTAGTCCTCGATAAGACAATCCGATATGAGGAGGTTACCGAAAACAATACGGAAAAAACGCAAAAATCCTGACTATTTATACCCGATTTTAAGATCCAGTGGTCGAAATGCTGCTATCGATGACTACTTGGACTGCAGTAACCGATCTCATTGGACGTGAACCAAAATTATTTAATGCGTTTTTGGTAAGGAAGGATTACTTACATACGATTGTAATATTGAATTTCATGCGGTATAATCCAATAATATTTCTGGCATGTAAGAATTTAAGTTTCGGACTGAACAGTCTTTTGGGCGTCTGCAAAAGTCGCCCTTGATAAGAATTACCACTTAAGTCGAATGCATGTTTCCATTGCTTTTCGACGTCTATGTAACCTCAAATATATTTTACAGAATGTGTGCAAATAGTATTTCGTGTTGAAGGTTGATAGCGTAAGTATGCATGAGACGGCAATTTCTGTTTCATTTTGGGAGAGTTGACTGGACTTCTGGAGAACTTATTTCCGCCGGCAGCACTCTGCGGCATTCTACGTTTAAGTGACTTATGCTTGGTTACCTACCCTCCCGAGTGTAATAACAACTAAAGAGAGGTTCTGGTGGGCAAATCCTCGAACAACGAAGGGAGCAAAATGTAGGCAAAAGAGTAGGCAAAATTAGCGTTGTTTCGATAATAGCAGTTCAAAATCTTCTTTTGCTGGAGAATAAGTCGTATTTTGAGGTCAGCGCAAGAAGTCAGTTGTGGTTTGCAGAACTCGGACAGATTATGAAGTTTATAAACGAGCGCAATACTTGCTAGTGGTAGTAGTGTAATCATATGAGTTGGTTTGCCATAACTGGGAAAAATGTTATGGTAGCTGACCGGCTTCTGGAACTGAAAGGTAATTTTGGCCTTTCTATTCATTTATGATTATTTTAGGTTTCTACCAAAGACCTTTATGGGATATACAGCATGCAATGAATTTCTCCTTGGTTATCTATACCGGTTGAGTACATCCCGGTAACTATGGCTACATGCCCACGAACAAAAGGTTTTCTTCAGTGAAAATTGCATTTTTCGCACGGTTAAAGTATTCCGTCATTAGAGGTGATTATTTTTCGTAACAACCTTGTTAACAAAGCCGGTCATTTGAGCTTTCGAGATTATATTTTGTGTTGATTCATTAAGGCGTAAATAAGGTAAAAAAACCTTCGCTCAGGTCATCGGGGACAATCTTCATGAACCACATCAGGGGGCATTTGGATATTTACTATTTTCTTCACGAGCTTGTGGTGCTCTATTTCCTCTCATTAGATACATCCTTAAAGTCTGACAAACGGATAGGTAAATCGATATGTTGGTTGATTAAATAAAAAAACCGAGTTCATACCATCAGCACTGTTACAAAAAGGTACGCCATGTTGCGAAGGACTTTTAAATTTATTCTTCATGTAGCCGTCATATTACTCAACAAACTACAAAGGACTTTAGAATAATGGTGGAGTTAGCATGAACAGTTTTGTGGACTCTTTTATAGGTCAAAGAATTTTTACTGAGGAGTATGGTTGCTAGTTCACTTGTCGGCAGATTAAACCGAGGAAATGTATATGATGATAAAGTAGGTCTACGCCCATGTCGCAAGCAGACTGAATAGCCCCACTCATATCGCTGCGTATGATTTCAAAAGGGGCAATTGCGATAAATGTCTTGACCGTTAAGCTGTTGTTAAGGCTACTGCCATAGCATGAAAAATGATGTCTGGCTTTCTTTAGTCTCCACTCGCCAGCTTTCGTTTTTTCTCTTGTCCATATTTTTTACCTTTCTTATCCCAACCACATTTTGAGATGAGAGAGGAAAAATGGTTGACTTGTTGATGATCAAATTCTACACCTATGCACGTACGCAAGCGCACATACATTTGGTCAGATCTGAGTGCTAGCTGCGTGTGTCGGATTGCGCGCAAGCAACGCGCCTGGTGAGCTCGATTGCGGACAACGGACGGGCCAGCATTGCGACCACCACCACCACCGCCGCCGCCACCACGCTTGTCATAACACCAGATCGGCCGCTGCTCCATCTGATGACTGCTCATCCCTTGGCGACAGCAGCCAATTGAGTGAAAGGGGAGGGTTGGAAAAGAGGGACGCAACTCGATAAGCCAAAGGAGCTGACGGCGAGAATAATGATGATGATGCCGCAATTGCGGAGGCTCTGGAAAATGCGCCAAAGCAGGCTAGGCATTCAGCAGTAGCGAAGCGGGGAATCACGAGGGATGGCAACTAGATTTGTGCTGTCGCGACTGCCCCTGCTGTTACTGCTAATAGTCATACCGATGAAAGTAGTCTTGAGTAAAGAAGAGCCTAATTTGAACAGCAAGCCCGATAAAAAGGACCCCGAGGAAACTGTACTCCGTCCGAAACGCCAGATTTCGAAACGCCAATTCACTGTCGGTAAGCAGCATATTTGTGGGCTTTTACGTATTGTGTGATGAGATCCAACGAAATCTACGCCCTCTTGACTGGGATGACTTTTATTAGATGTTGATGGAAACCTATATGCATAATACGCTACTGATTTTGGTCCAGGTAGACTCCAGGCAGAAAATGTACAGCATTTGTCGTAAATCAAACTAAGCGTATTGATTTCTAAAGGAAATGTGGTAACTTCAAACGACATTTACCGAAAGTGAATTGTGGTTAGGCCTGTTGCAATACAGCAGAGCGCAGAATTCGTAGGTATTACGTGAGAGCGACTAATTGCCTCAGATAACTTCTAGTTTAGTGGCTGAGTGACGTTTTATTTCGACTTATAAATAGAAACTTCTAGTGGAAAGATAAAACGTGTGCTGCATTCTTTTTAGAAATTACTGGCCTCCATACACGCATGTACTTTTATTATTACCACAAATCAAATGGATTCGGCAGGATTCCTAACATGAAATGGAGGCGTTAGCGGATATCTTGAAGTGGAAAATCCATATGACCATAGTAATAAAATGTTACTAGTCATTTATGAAAATTGTTGAACATCCACATTACTGGACTTTTTAATGAAACCGAGTTTTTTGATTGCTTACCGTAGTGCTTTTGAAGTAATGTGCTCAGCAGGAAGGCGACTGGAACTGCTTTCATTCATCCATTAATAGGGTTGCGTGTTCCAAAAATCATTTTACTAGACGAAGGTGGAGAACATAAAGAAGTATTAGATTCAGCCGAAACTAGTCCTCGTGTATTATCAGCGTACTTTTGCTTTAGAACCTCGAATTTGCATGTATTTTCACAAGTCTGCCTGTGTAGCATCCAGGTTAGGGGTTTTACCTCATATTACAGGCATCCTGGCCAAGAACTAGCCTTACTGCCAAAAATCCTGTTCGTCCGCGTCTGTTTACGAAAACTAGAACTTATGTGTTAGTTCAGTGGTTGCGTTTCGGTGGTATAGTGACTGGCATTTTGCGACATAATTATATGAATTTACGTTAAATGTCTTGGTCAGATGTGGTTCTGTAGCCCCACCTAAAGTAATCAAACCCCAGTCACCTGTAGTAAGGGACCAGTAGTATTAGGGGTGGGGCTGGGGAACTAACAGGCAACTAGATCAAGTAGATGTATATAAAAAAAACTTATTGGGAATGCGCAGTTTTACTAAGAGAGATTGAGATTTAGTTGCCCTAACCCCTAACCCTAACTCTAACACCAGCCCCTAACCATAACACCTAAACATGATCCCTAATCCCCAACTCTAACCGCCAACCCTAACCCCTAGCCTTGGCCTCTAACCATAACCCGCAACCCTAACCCCTAATAATAACCCCAACAGTATTTTGTTCATCATATGGGGCTACATAACCACATCTTACCAAGATCTTTGCTGAAACCTGAGCAAATTACAGGATGGGACAAGGAAAGAGGAATCTCTCGTTAGATTCCACAGGGGATCGGATTAAGGATCAGGGCCAAGGTTCGGATCAGGGTTAGGTATTTTACCCAAGACTATCCGTACACCGGAGAGTGTTCCTATTTCTGTGTCCTACCTACTACGGAAGTTAAATCTAGACGGCTTGGGTAGATTTCAGACCATTGTTGAATAACATCCCTAGGTGAGGCAATTTCGCACCCATTTTAACTTGTTAGCCGATAAAATATTGGTACCTTATTCGAAAGAAATGCCATGAGGGCATGTGCCTTGGCATTTCTACACACGGAAACATTGGCATATTGACGATCATTTTGTTATGGAACAATAATGACTTTCCTTCATCATCAGAATAGCCATTTGAGCTACGTCCGATTTCCAAAAAAAGGACAGGAGATGAGACTGGTCTAAAAGTAGACAGTCGCATGAGAGAATAATCATGCTTATCGTAAGTTTGCATAAGTTTTCATGGTAAGAACATAACTTCTGTTCTGCATCAGGGCCTGCAACCATACAGCAAATTACAATACGGAAGATACGCTTTCGAAGCCACATTTTAGGAGTTCCACCTGCCTATATGACAGCCATACTTACAGGCAAACCCCCTAGATTTCTGTTGGATATATCATGACAACCCTAGACGTCTCTTCTGCGTATCTTTTTGTATGTTAAAACGGCAAAACTAGCAAATAGGCAGTCATGGAAGATGAAGTTGATAAAAATCTAGAGATGTCGTAAAAAGATGTACTTTTAGGTAATGCTTTCAATGCAACTTACATTCAAATATGCGGAGAGCTGTACGCGACCAGATGTGGTGGATTAAATTCCTGATTAACGATCGAGTCAAATTGAATCTACCCCAACTCTATGGGTCAGGGTTGTTCACATACCCAGATAAGGCACTCAGTCAATATCTAATCTTTTACTTAAATATTTGGATAAGATGTTGAACGTGATTCCATTGACAATTTAATCCTTCAAACGATCTTTGCTATGATAATTTAAGCGCAAATACTTATTGATTCTCTTTCAAACCGCCATGTACATGGACGTATTTAGGAGAGCAAACAGTTCACATTTCACGTTAAACCTGCTGCAATATTGGGGTTCGTTTTGTTATTTAATGTCACTCTTTTCCACAAACGCAGACTAAGCTAACAAGCAAATAACAATTAACAAGCCAGATATATCTCAGCCGTGTCTAGATAAAAGATTAAAGATAACCTTTGAAAGAAGACTCCACGTGTATTAACTTGAAAATAAGATATAGATTATGCAGCGGTAACTTATTCCTTTGATAATAGACCTCATAATGCTTCGATTTAAAAATGCGTTACCTGAAATGCTAAGTTTTAGTTATCATAGGTAGTAGGTTTGAAGGTTGCAATTCTCTCAGACGTGTAGGTATTTTGATCATGCATGCTACTCGAACCATCTTCCGCAGGTGCAATCTTCGAGACCAATGCTCGTGGGAGCTCGGAATACCAAGCCTTTATGAACTTTCCCAGTTCAGCTTCGCTCCTTTGGCAAAATTTTCGCGTGAAGCAGCGCATTATCCACGTGGAGGACTTGAAGAACAGCTTCCAAGTAGCCAGTGCCAGTAGGTCCATGTTCAGTGGTTAATAGTTATTAATAGTTATTAGGTGTTTTAACTTATTTAAATATTGAACGTCTTGTTTACATTTTTGGGCATAGCCATCAACGTTGTGAGCCAATGGTAGGAAGAATTGTGGCTACTAAAGTAGTTTCCTTCTTGTGAACAAGTCCTTTACAAATAACGTCTCTTGGTCCTCGACGCCTGCGCTACAAAGTTACCCCTCATTGGTCACATGACCGTTGTTTGTTTGTCGCTAATCAAAATCAAAATATCCTCAGAACACCTTAAACGAGCATGCAGGGTTTTATCAAGTTGGTCGAAGAAAACTATAGCAGATGTGCTATCTTATGAAATGTTACCTTAACTTCTGTAAGGCGCTTAGGATTAAAAAAGATTACAAAGGGGATTGCAATATTGATTATCTTACAGAATAATCACAATATGTTTCCGTCTAGTCAGGACGTCGACTTTTTAATGGGTTTCTTTCTGGTTTAGCGTAAAAACTACTGTTCGTAAATATGGCAACTTTAGCTGTAGAAATTTTTTCCTTTGGACCTCCGAAGCCCTTATAAGTTCGATCACATTTGATGGAAACATTCTCAAAATATTCTTTTTTGAACGTCCTGTCTACACTTTTTACATAAAGGGAAAATACCCGTCATCGTTATAAACCGTTTATAATTTCGAATAATCATGTGTCCTACAGTTGTTGCAATTACTTTCGTACTTTCCAAACAAACAGAATGTAGACAGTTGACAAATCGTCATATATGAAATCACATTAATTATTAGACGATATTTAGATGCGAACTTCCCTGAAACAGAATTATTAAACGTTATTTTATTCCTATGTTTCACATTTACTACGTTTTCATAAGTGAATGAATTCTATGCATCTATAAACGAAGCTTACTAGATTAGCGCCATTTCTGACGTTATCAGGATATTGAGCTTTTCTAAAGGAATCGGCATTTCTAAACAACGCAACATTTGCCCTTAATATTTCTTTTATGTCTTTAATTATTTTTAATTTGTACTTAATTAACTTAGACACTGGACCCATGAAAGGGTGTCAGTTTGCGAGCGATTGGCAATAATTCGCAAATTTTGACATATTTCATGAGTTACTTTACGCACTGTAGGACTCATAAATGTGTTCCATGGATATGGTTTAGGTTGTATACTTTATATGTAGCATTAATAAACATCCTCATTCGATGCTATATTAATCGGCACTTCATCGTCTCAATAGTCTCATGATTATAAATTTCTAAAACTAAAATATACCCTTTCTCTTAGTAAGCAATTTAAAATAGACATAATTTGCCGCCAAATGAGTGCAGGGAGGAATATTTTTACGCCTTTCTACATAAGCAGGACTGATCCGGCATTCTCATGACATGTAGTATTGAGCCTGGTCTATAAATGAATGTGTTTTGTTCATATTCACTAAACTAGCAAAAACACCACTCGAACGTTCGTCTATGCCTTCTGTTGATATCTGTAGTGGCGGGTTTAGTGAAGACATTATCTTCAGGTATAATTATTATTCCTGCCCTTTCTGACAGCTCGACTACCGTAATACTGTACTCTTGTCTCTCTATCAGTAAATATATTTACGTCAAATGTTAGTGAGCACATCTGGCCGCTTTTGATTAAGCAACAGTCTCAGATAAAATTCTAAAAAGCATTTGAAAACCTAATAGCTTACCTTAAGCAGTATTGTCAAAGAACCAGCGATAAAACACGATTATCTATGTATGTTGGAATTTCCACTTTATATTAACTTTCGGAGCACAGTATGGTCATTTTCTATGTATAGTATTTGTCTGACTGTGAAATAAATGCTGGGAAAATTTCTTATGTTTTACCAGCCGTAGTTTACTATTGTCGCATATCTCTTTCGTGTTTCACAGTTTAGTTGTTCAATTAAAACCACCGGAAAAATGCGTGCTAAGGAGCAATTACTTGAAGCTAGCTCCTTGAGGAAGGGATCCGACGAAGTAAATTTATATGCTATTCGCGCAGTAATGCCTCTGCTGAAATACACGAATTATAATTTTTTCTTAACCTGTGGAATGCATTTTCTCTTTGATCATTAAGTTTCGTAGTCTGATCCATAAGTCTACTTCAAGATTAATCGTTCTTAGGCGGTTGCTTTCGCAGAATTTTTCCTAAGATTACTTTGTCTTAAAATGAAACGGAACTCAATTACAGACACAATTTGACGTAAAAAAGCTAAAACGGAATTTTTTATGGATCACAACTTCTCTCGCTCAGATCGTCCAGCGCTTTTAAAGTGAAAGTTGCGTTTTATTCGTATTCGCAACTTTGGATTGCGTGGCTGAGACGGTTAAGTACTTTCTTCAGTAGGATAAGGATAACATGAAAACATTACAGAAATCATCTGCTGAGTTTTACCGATGCGCCACATATTCCTTGATCGACATAATTCTTTCTTAGTCATTTGAATTAAATGAATTAATTTAGTTGTAATGGGCATCTTTAAGCATTCTTCACTCCAATCTACCACAGTCTGTGAACTGGTTGCGGAGGGAATCGTGACAATCTTTGTCTCAGTATACCCTGAGACGCTGACTATTGTGAAATCAATGACACTTCAGCATGACGTCCTCGTCTTCACTACGACTGATGCCCATCACTTTGGGACCTCGCAGCAAGAACTCAATTACTCCGTCAACATCATCAAGTTACGACCGTTGAAAGCGCCTGCCATCATCGATTTTGTCCTAGACTCAGGATGGGAGGACGTCCTCTACCTCTACGAGTCTCAGCAGGGTGGGTGATAATCGGTCTGGACTCCTGATTCTAGTTCTGTCCAAGTTTTCTACGTTTTTGCAATCTTCTCCATTATCAGCGCCAACAAAACCTTTATTGCAGGAAAGTTAAATTAATCAAAACCTACGTTGCCTGGATTAGTAAAATCACTGCCTAATAATTTATCGACTTGTGATCAGATCGAACAGAGTGTTCTAAAACAGTCAAAACTCTCACTATCTAATACACAGCAAAGAAAAACAACTCGAAAAATATAGAACTGCATTAAATCCTGTTTAGAGACTAAAATAACATTCGACTACTGGAACAAAGGTTAGACAAAAAATCCAGAGGTTCGGTGGTTAGCTCAACAAGACCAAGGCTCCTCAAGGGTTAGGTTTATAAGTTAAAATTGCTGTATTGAGAATGCGACAACTAAGCTTCTTACTTAAATCGTGTGACCCTTATCTTGGCATGGAATAAAGCCTGTGGTCTGGCGAACTGATAATTGCCAAAACTGGCCCGAGGAGAACATATTGACTGTTGCGGTTACCCCTGAAAATTAAGCTCCACATACTTGCCTGCTTTTTAGCATGGACCCTAAAAATAGTCAGTGGTCGAATTTTTATAAAAGTAAGCGCACTTTTGGAGTTTATAATGGCCGAAAAGTAAATGCCCACTATACACTCGCTTCTGTTCCAATGCACAAGTTTCGTTTTTGAAGCCGATGATTAGTTTATTCTGCATGACTCAAGTCCGTTCAAACACAATATTCATTACCACGGGGCTTAAATGTTGTTAGCAGAACTAACTAGGTATATTGTACAAAAACTTTTAGAGAGTATGTTCAGTTTAAACATTGCCCTTCTTATACATTTTAACGTTGTTATCTATTTCCTAACTATTGTACATCCCATCCCGCCTATCGCATTCTGAAACTAGAGGTACTTACAGTTACGCATAGTTGTTGTCCTAACGTTATCCCTGAAGATCAGCCCAAACGGATAATTCGATTACAGAAGATTTCTTTTTATTTGATTTGAACTTAGATTCCAACCTTGCTGTGTCATGGGTAAACAAAGTCATTCGTCCTTTACAGACATTTTCGAAATGCATTGTGTATTGTTAACGCACCTTTTAGGATTCCTTGCCCTGATGATCGAACGTCCATCGTATATGTGGTTTGTGTGTTTCTTTAAAAGGCAGTTGACAAACAATCTTTTCTGACCTGGCTGGAGAGCGCTATCATATAATTCCCATTTCCAATGACGCACGGATTTTTTCATTTACCTGCTACCTAAATACAAATGATTCGAACCATTAATTTTAAAAAGCTGGCGTCCTTATGAACACTATTAGTCAAAAGGGCCTAAAAATCCGTCTCCAGACCTATTTCAAGGTATCACCCCGTCAAACTAGTCATTTCTTCTGGTTTCGATGACGCTATTCCTCCGTGACCGGCCTTAACATCTTAACGTAAATACATCAACAGCTTTGTATTTTTGGAACACCCTATCAAGCCAACTACCGTCTGCGATGGATTTTGGAGCGGGTGATTCGACACCAACCAGGATTCACCGTGGACTTTCGAAGACTGCGCTCGGCTGCTGAGAGCAGAGATGAAAGTGCAGGCGGCAGCGACGGTCAATACGGACTCCTACAATATGTCAATTCCAAGACCAAATACTTCCAACGAAAATCCATCATTCTAGACGTGACTTCCTCCGCAATGACAAAGCAGGCTCTTCATCACATAGAAATTCTGATGCCGGAGAGGGCTGACTTTCAATTTCTCATTATTGGAGGGGTAGGTTGATTGCTATAAAACACGTAACATACAGGATACACTGCGTTGCGGGCAGTAAAGAGGATCGGGGACAGACAATTGTTCAGCTTGTGACACGACATGCGGAAAACAGAAATTTACACTTCACCGACACTTGATGGAGTGCTGTTGAACATATTTTTAGTACAACTACAAGCAAAAACGGTTCACTTTAAAAATTCACGCAAACTCGTCTTTAGTACCCAGGGCTTTTGAAGACTTTTGACAAGGCCGAGTTTTATATATAATTTTTAACTTTATATGAAATGGGCAAAAAAACAAATCAACGAATACTCATAAATCTGTTGAAAACGAATGTTGATCCTATTTGCTACATTAAAAAACTTCAGTTGTTTTCAAATAGCGCACCAACTGCATTTGGGACCCAATGGATAGGATTATCCCATATGGGGAAACGCTCAAACCCATAGGTTGGTGTAAACTATCTCGACAATTGATTTCAATACTCCTTCGCCAATTTACGATGACAGAAGTAACTATGCTGGAGTATAGGTGGCAGTACCTCATCTTACATTGTTACCGGTCGCTCTGCGACGGTCCGCTAAGGCTCTAGGTTGATTCCCAAGGCGCAATACAAGGGGCATGTCGCGTGTCCCATGATACCTACATGTTCCACTTTATCAAAATGACGAAAAAAGGATTTCGTTACATTTCTTACACACTGGATTCGTCGTCATGGGACTGGCCATCTAGGGGTGAGTGGATCCGCTCGACGAACGACTACAAGTTTCTGTAGCCTCCATACAGCTTTACGGATATTCCACTTCACTACCTTTGGCAGCTGTCAAAAGACAGGGTTTTTCAGCTTTCCGGCAAAATCTGCTTTCATTACTACTTTGGCTTCAGAGTGGAAGGACTATTGCCTGATATATTCACTGCAATAAAAGGCTTTCTTAGCAGCCCTGTGATTACTTGACTGTTTGGTTAGTCCCTAATGAAGACATCTGGGGAGAGTAGTCGTTCTTCACTTTCTCCTCATGGGTACCGCGCATATCGGGCACGACAGAGACAATTTGGATGCTGATGTATTCAGATTGGCAAAGGTGAGAGATCCGGGTTGGTTATTTGAAGATAAGGATAGGCGCTCTGGAATGTATTCAACTCAACCTCGCCTGGCGACAATTGTACTGTCGACAAATAATGCCAGAAGTTTGGCTTTACATGAGTTTCAAGCTTTGGGAAATGTAAAAAATTATCGGTGTGACCTTCGTCGGCTCATATGTACTTACAGCGACGGCGAGGAATATTTGAGTGACATCGTAATTATTCGTTGGATTTAACAGTTGTCAATGAGCCAAGGTTCAGGAACTTCGATCTCTGGAACAGTCCGTTTGCAGGACTTTAGTAAACATGTCTCGAATCAAGACCAGATGGAGACACTCAGATATGCATCACTGACTGTTCGTTGAGTCGCTCAATAGCTGCATTTCTTGATTCTGGTATATCTTAGTCATTCTTTATGATGCTCTTACATCTCTTCATCGGATTCGGATTAAGTAAATGCTGCATCGCAAATAACATAGAGTTACAGGCCACTGGGGGTGCATCATTGCTTTCTTATGGTAGTCAATCTATTATGAGAAGCTAATTGAAATACCTTTGCCCAGTGCGTGGCATCTTCTTTACCAAGTTACTTGATTACACATCTGTGACGATTTAGGTTTTATAGTTTAATGTTGTATGATGTTGATGTTGTTTGATGCTGTTGATGTATTTTTGGTCCGACCCACCCGTTAAAAGCCCGACGACCTAGGTGGGATTTTAATTAACGACAGCAAGGGCAAGACTTGAGAACAATCATCGTTCTAACCAGCGGAGCTATGAGGACTCGATCGAGAGTCGTACCTTTATGCACAGTTTGTTGGGCAGCTTTACCTGATAAAACACAGGCCCAATAAAACAACTGGGTCCCCAATGAATCGCGGTGTACACTGAAGGTTATTCGGTTGAATTCTCAGGAGGTCGTTCGGAAGATGAAATGCTCACGAGGGTTATTTGTACTCCGGAATCTAGGCCGTGTATGTTCCCTTGAAACTAACAGAGACATATAACTATCCCTTCTGAAATCCATGCTTATGTGGTTGCAACGGAATTTTGTTGGGTTGACTTCCGCAAATGGTTAGTGGTCTCGAGAATAAAATTTTCAACGGTATGTTAACCAAAGTAGTTTCTTTGGGTTGTAGTGGTTTGACCAACGCCTACCTTATTTATTTGCATAATGATGGCATCCACGGTAAATTACCATAAAATATAAGATGCACAGTTTAGGAATGCGCACACAGCTACGGGATTGCTTCTGCTGGTAGCGTTAGAATGATGATAGGGTCGCCGCGTCCACAGGTTACGATGCGGTATGGAAACTGAGCTCAGGGGAGGCTCCAAGGCTCCACGTTACACCATCTTGAAAACAGTGTGATTGGGCCTCGACTTCCGCATGTAAGCTTACTCAGCCGAAAACAGCAGTTTTGGAGGAGTCTTCATGCCATTCACCGACCACAGTGGGTCACAGTTCGTAACCCCAGTCTCTTTCTGAAGGGATATTTTTGATGAGGTTTTTTGAAACATGTGTGGTTGGATTGCAATGAAACAGTAACGCTTTGCTTACGACTAAGTTCGTCAAAAGTGGTCTTTTCCCAACCGTGGACCAGCTGAACTGTCATCTGTCTGAAATTTGAATTGCGAAGAGAGGGACGAAAAAAGCCGCCGTTCCTATTCGGTGGCTAACTGGTCTGAGGCTGGTTCTGTGATATCTGTATTCGTTCGCGTGGCGTGTTCACTGCTGTGTCTACAGTGGTACTATGGTAGAAGGGCGCTCACCGATCGTTCTCATGGGACTCACTCGTTCCGTTTTGCCTTAGGAGCTCTCTTTCGAGCCGAAACAGCAGCCTCACAGCGGCGCATGATATAGGCAGAATGTTATTATCGACAAAGACAAGGGAAAGTGGAATGGCCATTTCTGACTTATTAACCATCGTCATCAAGTCATACCCAAACCCGAAGTGTGGAACACCTGGGGCTCGAATTCGCGATCTCAATTTCAGCTGCATAGCCCTTTGTTATTGATCGCCCTGCCAGTGAAGCTCAGTGTCGCTACTGTTAACATGATAGTTATTTTCGAAAAAAGATGAACACGCGATCAATATACGTATATTAATCTGGGTTTTCGGTCCCGTACAGAAGGCCATCCTCAGAGACTGTGACAATGAGCTGTCAAATGAGCAGTTCTGTAGTCAAACAAAGAGGGTGAGATGGGAGTACAAGGGGTGGTGGTTACGATAAAGCTGGGTCCAGGTCGTCTCGCGGCGGCGTGACTGCTTGCATCCTTACATGGGAATTAGGTCTCGCCTCTTGGCCGCGAGAAATGAGCGCATGATAGCCGGGGGTATATAAACGTGTCTGTTGACGACTTTAGTGTCGGACACCAAGTCTTACAGGATTTCTCTGCCTGCCTTATTGCTGACTCGAGTCAATATCCGCTTGCTCACGCAGATGAATTTGTGGCCTTCCTCCAGTGTATGAATAGCGACCTGAGACAGGGGGTCGCCTCTCCCGACCGCTGGCCTGTGGTGCGTTATTCGCGAGCTAAGCCGTCCTCCGGTCTGTCCTATGTAGTGGCGAGGGCAGTCCCGGCATGGGATCTAATATATGTCATCGGATTGTTCTCTCAGATATTGTCGGTCCTTCAGTTGCATTACTTTGTTGCGCATGGTCGCTGCCGGACGGTAAGCGATATCCACGCCGAGCTCTCTTCCCATACATTCTGCTGCTTTGGACGCATTCTTTATATACGGTAGGGTGGGTCAGGGTGTTGGTGGCTCGCTTCCGTTCGTTCGTCGAGGTTGCATGCTGGGGCAGTGGCTGAGGAAGCTGTTAAGGTATCCATTGCTTACCAGTTGTTTCCGAACTTGCCGTAGTTCCCGCACTCGTCCCCTGGTTCACAGTAATGCGTTTTTACTCATTGGAAGCGCGTTCTAACACAGCTGCGTTTATATGTCATTGAGTAGTTGCTATAGTAGCTGAGAATTTGAGCCGTGCTAGTCTCCTTTATATACATCGTAGTGTTGAGTTGGCCATTAGGTGCGCATGCGACGAAAATGTTAAGGAAAGGCAGCTGCTTGGCCTGCTCTTCTTCTCTTGTTAACTGAATGTCGGGGAAGAGGCCGTTAAGCAGATCTTAAAAGTCTGCTAGTCTGCTTCTTCCAATTAAAACGAACGTTTCGTCTAAGTACCGATGCCGGAAAGCAGATTCATAATGGTCGAATGCGACTTTTTCCAGCTCCTGTAAATCTAATTCCGTGACGAGGCTGGATAGCTGCGAACCCATTGGTGTTCCTTTGATCTGCTCCTATGTTCTGCCATTGAAGGTGAAAAAGGTTCGTTTGCAGAAATCAAAGAGTTATTGCCCTTCATTGATCTCCTTGCTAGGGAGTACGCATCTCTTGTAAAGCACCCTCTGCGCAGATATCTTGTTCCAGTTCGGCCAGTCAAGTACTTATCTATTGGTGGTTTCTGTTTTTTATTCTAAGCATTTTTTGGCATTGGAGCTCCAAATGATCGGCGAGAGCCTGGTACTCATTTAATCGGCTCTATTTCGCCAATTCCTCGGAGATTGAGGATCTAATTATGCTTGCTAAAGTGGCAAGGATACGAAATTCCGGCATGCATAGGCGGAGAAAAGAGAGGAAAGAGGGTCGGAAAAGGCAGTTTAGAGCAAAACGTCTAGTGCGTCGTGCAATCTCGGCGCTCATTGCTGCAGGCAACACGAAACCCGGCCGTCCATCTACTTTGACTGTCCTCATCTTCGCCCGCGTGCGAGCTATTCTTCCTGCCCACCGTCACTCCATCCCTACTGACTGTATTCTGGGGGGGGCAGTTTACCACCTCAAAATAAGTCCTCTTTCTTTGCTGGCAAAAATAACGCATTCGGTGGCGGGCACAATTGACTCGATATTTCATTTCTTCGAGTGCGTCAAGCCGCAGTGGAAGTCGCATAATTGGCAACAGCAATGAATTTCCGCCTTGCGACTCAACTCCTCCGCCCTCCCCAATTTCCCCTTCAGAAAAATTGCGTATTGGTAGTTCTGCCCAAGTTAACAGGGAATCATCCACAAAACAAGCCGATGCAGGGATTAATTAGCAAATGATAAAGGGGAGAAACAACTTCCGAAAGAAGAAAATGCGCAAAAGCTTTGCTTTTAGCGTGGTGAAAATTCTGTGCCTGTCGAATGTCTATCTTATTCAATCAAATTAGCTTTTGTATTTACTGGACACTTAGTAAAAGCTGAAGGTACGACCGCTGGAATAAGAAATTTGTTGGCCTGCCGTTTTGAATTCCCACCCGGGCCATCATCGGGCACAGTCGAAAGAAAGGAGCACGGGGACACAACGAGAGTAAATATGCATAGGGTACACAATGCCCCACACGGTTACAGTGTCCACGTTCATCGCTGGAGGCTAGTATCTGACACGATGAGGGGTTATTGTGTTTGTATATAGAGCGATGGCCGGAGAACCGTAACTCAAGTAGCTCACGGTGTCGCAGGGTCCCGTCAAATGGGCCGCTACCTGGACGTCAGTGTCACTCCTCATCGCCGTTGTTGCATGCTCAAATTTTCGTGTCCGATATGATATCGCAGGGCTTCTGACGCAGTTGCTAAGTCTGCAACTGCCTCAGATACTCAACTGTTTGCTTGTCTGGCGGGACAAAATATTGCATAAATTTGGAGATTAGGCTTTGCTTTCCTTTTGTTTGGACCATAAAACAAGTTAAATGGCAGTACTTATAAAAATCCTGTAAGTTTTGAGATGTTTGGAAAACCCGTACTCGGAATAAAAGGTCGATCTGGTTAAAGAAAACGCGCTCGACTATTTCGGTAACAGTATGACTGTAGGCAACGGTGATTTAGCCAAAGCTCCTACATCAACAACTCTCTAAAGTTCACTACCACAGCGGCCGACTATGAGGAAGTTACTCCTTTCTCTTCTGGACGTTCGGCGGTGTGCCGCAAGTCTTTGCCACATGCTCATGACTCAGGTGCCATGCCCCATGACCGAACGGACTTAAAAGAACCGCTTATTTACGCCGTTCGACCGTTGGCACGCCTTTGAAGTAGCCATAGGCGTGATACACGTAAATAATGCAGACGAGGTTCCAGGACGTAATTTTTATAATGTCCTTTGTAAAGGTTAATTAGCATCTATGCCCAAATTTAAGAATGTCTTGGACTAAGGCACGCACTTTCCTTAACATGCATCTCGCCTCAACCACTCCCGCTACAGAACTAATTAGCTAACTAGCATTTCATGCTGTTAGCCTGTCAACTGTTCTGTGCCTTCTTTACGCGTTCCTTTCCCCCTTATTTTGGCAACTGAATGAGAGGTCAGGCAGTTTTGTACGTCACTTTCTCCCCTTTTTTAAAATCCCGACATGGTTCCTTTAGAATTGTAGTGAAATGATCTTCGTGGGTATCATGCCTACTTGATGGGAGGCATGGGGTTTCGGCAAGAAAAACTCTAGTGAAGGCAGATAGGTATTTGAAGAAGCGTGGTGAACTTCTGTGACCTTTCTCCCGGCAACCTTTCATCCGGTTTGGAATTTATTAATATGCGTTTAGTCGCAATGTCTGCAAGTCATAATTGGTTTCATTACTATTATTAGTACCATATTTAAAAGGCTATCATACATTACAATAGCATGCAAAGTGGCAGCTGCTCTCCATATATGCCAGAAAATGCATATTTTCTGCCTGTCCATCTTATGCTGCGGCTTGATATCGAAATAAATTGTCGAAGCTACTGGGACTTATTTATCTTTGGACAACGATCACATTCACTGAATGGAAAGAAATTAACCGCAAGAATCATATTTTTCCTGGACCTGATTATGGGAATTAAGTCACAGTGCAGCGATGCATGAAAATATACGTTAACAAGCCTATCGCTTGTACAGGACACGATGACCTACCATTGGAATTCTGGGTGCGATCTCATATTGCTTTGTCGTTGCTAAAACATCCCAACACTTCAAAACTGAAGGACGATAAAAGCAAGTATAAGGGAGACTTTAATGGGCAATTTTGGCCTCACTACCGTCATCAGTACTCACATGTACGGTTCAGGATAATTGCACACAGTGCTTAAGTCGGAATATCCGTAGACACTTTTACGATCAGGATAGATCGGTAAATGTCCCCTCAATGAAGCATTTAGGAGTTCTCTGAGTTCCAGTCTTAAGACAAAAGTCGCAGCAAGTCTTTGAGGTCACCCATTATACCACCTTTCAGGACACAAAGATCGTCAACAGCAGCGTTCTTCGCTTCGGAGGCATAAACATGACAGTCATCTCCCTGCTCAACTTCAATTCAGCGGCGATGAGGAATTATTTTAATGAGCTATATCCTCGTGTACGAGAACCTGTATATCTGCCAACCAACCTTTCGGTAAGCTTTGCACTTGCAATTTTCAGATGCACGAAAGAACACGCTCATTGTAGACTGCCTACAGTTATAGATAACATAATGGACCATTCAACCAGAATTGTGTGATTCATTTTGTTCGGTAAACTGGATCGCCATGGCTAAAAGCACAAGAAAGGAAGATTAAAGGGCTAACCCGGCATACTTTTTTTACCGATTACCGTTAAAATGTAGTTAAGGAGTTTTCCCAACAATGCCGGAGTGTTGGAATTCTATTACAAAAATCAGAACGGTCCGTAGTTATTCGGTAGACTGGACGCCTGAACACTAGTACCTGCTTGATTGACTAGGCGCCATATCAATGCATTATTTATTGGTGTCTGTCTGAGACTTAGGCTTCAAGTAACTCCCGCCTTATCTTGTTTCGGATACGTTCAGTCACGCACTTACCCCCCTTTTCTGTCTGTGATGATGGTTCAGACTAGGGTCAGAGAGCCCGAAACTTCAGACCATTAAAAATCTTGTCACAGCACTCGCATCATCTTCTACACTGTTTCCTTGAACTCACCCATTCCTCTCTATCAACGCAGCCAATTATAATTGAAAAGTCAAATTGGCGAACACGTGTCTTCAGTAACTCTTCATCAGGCCAAAACGGTTACAATGAAGTTTAAGTTATGCGAATTACATGACTTATGAATGATTCGGGGACAATTAACATCGATCGTTCCCACGCCACTCGCATGACGAGGCGTGCTATGGCGTGGTCGGCGTGTCGTGGTCATTGGGTTCAGGGGGCGAGGAAGAGACGGGGCATAGGCTGTGAGTACGTTGTGTACCTTGTGCACCCACCCTGGCATCAGGAGGTTGGAGCGACGTTGGGGTCGGCGTCGGCCACGGAAGACAGAGCGCCTGTGTCAGAGTCTTCTGACAGCATAGCACTGGATTGGCTAGCCGTATAGCCACTGGCGTGGGAACGATCGAAGTTAATTGTCCTCGAATCATTTATAAGTCATGTAATTCGCATAACTTAAACTTCATTGTAACCGTTTTGGCCTGATGAAGAGTTACTGAAAACACGTGTTCGCCAATTTGACTTTTCAATTGTAACATGGGAATATTCGCAGCCAATTATCTCAGAAGCTACAAAGATGGACATGTAGACCACTTCGGAGGGCGCGGGTAGCCACTTGTGATAATTCGGAACCCCCTTGCACAACCAGCTTATGTTTCTCTAAGTGTGGTCTGAGTATCTGTTCAGTCTGTCCTGTGTAGTTACGGGGACAGTTTAGTGATGATTGACGGCACACTACACCAAAGTATTTCATGGAGTATTTCATGGCACAGTACACCAAAGTATTTCATGGAGTCACGGCCGTCAGTCATCACCGCGGCCGACGGGGGCGATTCAGGTCACGGTGACATGCGGGTTGGATGCAGCCACACAGGCGGCATTAGCGGATCACGCATTGGACAAAGGGCACCATAATAAGGAGTGCTGTGCACAGGACCTCCCAGTCCCTGAAGAAGGGTAGACGAGTAAACTACCCGAAACGTCGGATCTCAAATAAACCCCTCCCGGTGAACGCCCACTCTTCTTTTGATATGCCACCTGGGAATCGGATTTTCACTACTATTGATTTCATGGAGTATTTCAAATACATAATTTTCATGACCGTAGCACGCATGCTAACTGTGAGCCGGTCGGCAGTTTCAACACCTAGCTCCGCAGCAATGCGCTCAGTCGCCTCTGACGCGTCCTTTATGTACGGTAGAACATGTCGTATACCCTGTGGCATTTCTGTTCGCATCCTTCGAGGCGGACACGTAGGCATCGACTGGTAAAAACCTTTGGATAGCTTCTCCCCATATATTTGTCGGCGGAGATGTTGTGGTAAGTCTGAATTCTTTTGAAGAGCTTTCTCACACAGTTCCAGCCGTGCGTCACCAGATGAGTACTGCGAAAAATGAGCAATTACGTGGCGTCCGTCGCCCTCCTATGAACCCTTGCCTCAATTTCATCATTAGAATTTCGCCTGAAAAGCACATCTTGGAATGGCAGATATTGCTTATTTTCTTCATTTCTAGTGGATTGTATATCTTGGACGAGTGCATTGAGCTGAGTATGGAAATTCCGCACAAGCACCGTCACATCTATCCTAATGGTCGCGGATTGACTACTAACGCCTGCGACTATCACCCTTTCAGTTTCGGCTGTAATCCCTGTAAATGAACACCTGCACATAATTGAATGCTCAGAAAAATATACAAGTATTGTTGGTGCTCCGCCATTCTCTGTTTTGTACGCATACATGTACCTGGAACTCGAACAGGCGAGGCCGCAGTATGTGAACCCATTTAGGGAGTAAAATTAGGTTATCATGGCAAATTGCGTCCTCGTCATTTTATGAAATGCGCTTTTGCGTATTCGCAGTTAGATAGAATGTAATCTATTTTTTTATGGAAGCAAATTGGAAGAACTGGAACAACGCGCCCTCGAACATTCGCCTCCATTGAAATGCACTGCTTAGAGGGCCAAGCACAACAGTGACAGTCGGTTTTCTCCCCGTTGTCACCTTCAACCTTACTTCAGGGCGCGTGGACTCGCAGGCTAAGCTGTTCAAGGACCCAGGGCGCGAGTTTTGCGTCATGAACTCCTATCGAACCGGTTACATTTGAAAATAACAAAATTCCATGAAAGTTGCTAGGAGAAACCCGGCGTTCCAACAAGGATGGGACTAATTCTCCAAGGATTATGGCCGTTCTACCCTCGTCACCATGGCCTATATGCAACACAGATAAAACCATCAAGGACCTGGGACTCCTGTGATATTTCATAGGGTACGAAGACGAAAAATCACATACTACCATCAGAAAATGCGTTGCGCAGAGACTAACGGATCTAGAGCAAACTGGGTGCAGAAGTGCAATCAGATGTCCTCCGCCGGACAAATGTCCATAATTTCACGGACCGCAAAGCACGAATACCAGAACACAATGTACAAATGAGGGAAGAGAAGTTGTCGTCACAATTTGCCCTCTAGCTCTCGAAAACGAAGTAGAAAATGAATTTGTCAAATTTACATATGATGTCTGCCTTATAAGAAGAAGAGTAACACTACTACAAACAACACCTGTGTCAGCTCTCTCCGAAGGCCAAGGTCAAGAGGACTAGCAGAATTGGTGGTGAATTAGGGGACAAAGAACTGGTATTAATCCAGTTTGCGACGTATTCTATTCGTGTATTTTAGATATTTTTCATGGGCCTTCAGACTGTTATAAGACATAGTCAATAGACGATTCTGCAGATTCATATTGACCCAACTGTAAAAACTCGGCGCCTCGGTGGGATTCGAACACACGACAGTAAGGGGGAGGCTTTAGCACAGTCAACGCTCTACCAAGCTGAGCTACGAGGCCCCGCCGGAAGACGCGAGTTAGCAATGTCTGCAATCCACCAAATCTGATCCAGTAAGCTGACTGGCCATGCAGGATTTCCTAAGAAATCAGTGTAAAATCCATCAGATGACTTCTAGGCTCACATAATTAATCGATATTTTGGTAGATTTCTAATAGCTTACCTTGGCTCAAACGTGAAAAACTCGGCGACTCGACGAGAGTAGAACCCACGACTCGCGTCGTCTGGCGTGGCCTCGTGCTCAGATGGTTAGAGTGTCGGCTGTACTAAAGCCTTCCTCTTACTGTCACGGGCTCGAATCACACCGAAGCGCCGAGTTTTCACAGTTGCGCTAATTATTCAAAATCCGCCAAAGCACCCATGAGATACAGCAGGTATTTTTCAGTGCGTACTTCTTCAGTGCGAATAAAGATGTTCCGTAGAGTTGTTTGGTTTGTACTAAGCCTTTCCCTTCAATATGGCTGGTTTCCAAGTTGTCTTCTTTGTGTTATGTTTCCATTTTCCTCTTTAAGAGGTCCTTATTGTCTGCAATTTCAGTATGATGCAGCTCTACTTATTGACGGTCTACATGCGCTGGTAGAAGTACTCAAACTCCTCAACGATCCTCTTTCTGCTGAAGCGGAGAAACAGGGCAGTGAAGGTACCCGCGGTTCCCTGACCAACGCCTACAAGTCCACACTGTCGGCCCCTTGCCTGCCTACTTTCGTGCCCCAATTTACGGCAACAGCTCTGCTATCAAAAATCCAACAGGTAACGGCTGCCTTCCCTGCCCTTTAATCAACTCGCCAACTCTTTCTCATTCGGCGCTGAATACGATGATGAATAGAGTAGTCTCAACGCATCGTCTTTCCCATAGTATAACCGCAATTTAATTTGAAGGTTTTCTTTCACTTGAATGATTCCTTGCTCATGTTTTAGACCTCCTTCACCGGTCTTACTGGCAACATTAGCTTCAACGAAAACGGATTCCGTGATGGCTACGAGTTCGAAATTTGGGGGACGAAAATGAAGCAGTCCTTTGAGAAGGTCAGCGTTTGTTGTTACTATTCTTGCAGTTTATGTACTAGAAATGTTTGTACCTATGAGCGCTGTATCTGCCAAGGAATTGAACTTACCGAAAAAGTAGCCAGGAGCACATAAAACAGGATTCGTTTCACGTCGCGGATACTTGCAGTATTACGACTGCTGTTACTAATATTATACCCACCTCCACAATTCTTATTCATACGTAAACAGTTGTGTCATGTGCTACTGTTGCCGCTGATGCCATCGGAAAACGCCTTTTAAGATAAACGCTTCAGAAGTAGTCCCTTTATAGAGTTACATCGTTAGCCAAACTATTTCTTTTTATGCGCATGCCGACAATATCCAGTATGCTTCTTACCGCATGGGAAGCAAGCATAAGTTGTATTGAGAAATATCGCAGGTAAACGCATCTGAGACGTTTCTGGTCATTGTAAAATAATCATTCTCAACCCCAGGCCAAGCTGGAAGTCAGAGTTTGCGATTATTTAGTACGGCGTCAGTTAAACTTTGAACGTGCGTCTATGGGGCTGCCATTGGCAACATTCAGTTGCGCATAACATTGACGCTAGTCAGTTTATATCCGCAGCTTAAGAGAGAAGTTTCAGCACTCTAACCACTGGGCTACGGGTTAATTTCCCTTCCGGTTGTGGTCGGCGCAATATAAAAGGCAGTACCAGTTGTTTAGTCAGTCGTTGAGGTGGTAACGCAATGGGCAAGAAGACTCTATGAACCAGCCTAAGCGCAGATCGGAAAGGCCTGGGTTCAAACCGACTTCGTTGTCTGCTCTAACAAAATAAAACTCATTTGTCTTATCCACTAGAACGGTCTTCTGCCGTATATAGTGCCAGGCAAGGAAGGCAGCCATACACAGCGAAGTACTCTTGAAGGGACAGAATTGGTCGTGTTTTAAAGTTCAGTATTTTGTTAGCTATCCACATACTGCGGCTGTCATTCTGCCCCTTGTAGCTTATTTTATTTTAATAATCAGTCTCCGCAAACCTGCCGTAGCCAACTACTACAACCAGTGCTTACTGGGACTTTCACTGATGTATGAATTCTGGTGGCCATCTGTGCACACAAACGTATATGCGGTACTGATCGTCAGTGACCGTTAATAGACAGCAGGTAACGACCATTCCTCCTTAACCCCTGCTGAGTATTTTTGATTATTTACCAAGTGTCTATTCAAAGGCGGCACCTTGTTCACCATTAGGGTTACCAATGTAAAAATTGGTAGAACGTTGAAATTACGGTCAACTGTTTTGTTCTGATGACGCTTGAGCACAACTATTCTACTAATACATCATATTAGCCAGATTTTTAGATCATGACAATAGCCTTGAGGCGTACTGTGCTTCTCTTAAACATGAGTGTTCAGTCAATGGATTGTATTCTTTCAGTCCGTCAAACACAACTATAACGTGCATATTAGTAATAACTCATAAAACCCCTCCTACAGACGTGCACTGAAAACCCGAAAACGTGTTTTGATGCTATGATGGGCAATTGTGGGTGTTTTAATTATCTTTGGATTCCAAAACGTCACATGTAGATTGTGCTATAGTTCAAGGTCTTGTCTCTTACATAGTTCCAATGTAATTTGCTGAGCGGATAAGGAGGAAAGACTGAGAGACGTCCCCTTATGAATTATGGAATCTTAAAAATAATAACAAGGGTATCTAAATCTCAATGGATATTTATGCTCTTCTGACAGTCCAATGCCGACCAATTAATGTCGTGCGGATTGTGAGCTGAAGTTGATAGAATTCGTTTCAAAAATGCACACTGACTATCGTGTCAAAAACTAAGGGGTTTTCACAGGACTGTAATCGAAGACCGCACAGTAAATTGTGATGACTTTAGGAAGCATCACACTGTGGTTTGTCAATGAACTTCTAACTCAAGTCGTTCCTAGGCAAGTGAGATTAATCATGATGAATCGGAGATCACGATCAGAGAAGGTTTACGAAGGAAAAATTCCCGGACTTCTAAGCGTAGGTTCGCATGATTCCTTCCAGCATTCCTTAGGCACTAAAACGACGAGTTCGAATTACGGGCTGTTGTTAAGCCAGCAAGGCACGAAGATGTGTGGGAAGTAAAGGACACGACTGAATTGGAAACATCGGTGAAAAAAACGTTTTTACAGAATTTGCCTATTGCAAGCTTGGTGGAGATGGACAGCAAACTTAGCGCATACATTAGTTTTATTAGCTATGAGTAAGGTTTCGATGTTTGACCCTATTCTATGAGCGTCACTGATCATGGGAGTATTACATTTCAGGAATTTGAACTCAGCCAGGGGTCTTCTGTCAATGGACTTGCTCTGAATGAAAATTAAGCAGTTGTTAACGCTCAAAGGTGATATGCATGTAAGCATTCAAAAAGTCAAGTTTGGCAAACGTACGCTCTCAATTATTTATTCATACTGTAATATAAGATATGGTAGATTAGCAAAAATTTAAGCATTCAATAATCAGTAAATCTGGTGAAGATGTTTGAAGGCGTTTAAAGGTCAGAGGATCTAATCTAGTTTTAGTAGGGGCTTAGGAAGAGGGAGGGAAGGAAATGTCTGACAATCAGCTTTATCTCTTTTACATCGCCGTAACACGACGTGTCTGGAGGTTCATTTTGGCTAAGGGAGCCTTTGAGCCTATATACAACTTTATGCGAACACCAGGGTGGGTTGGCTAACCGCATGACCACTGTCTATGCTATCTGAAGCATCCGCTGACGCAGGAACTCGGACTGCCTCGCCCAGACCTTATAGAGGACTCGGAATGTCTGGTTGACGTCGAATAGCCTGCCGCTGTCAACCAATTGAGTCACAATTACGCTAGAGATGGACTTTTCTATACTTCGATTTAGCCAAGCAGAATAGTGCCCACGCATCCGTTGTAATTGGCACCTATTTGTTCGACCAAGATAACCTGCTTCACAGGAGCAAGCGAGAGCGTAGATGCACATTAAAGAGATCTGAAAGAACAGTCTATTCTCACCGTCAGGCAAAGAAGCGGAGTGCTTGAAGCAACTATTGTTATTTTATCTATTGGGTGCGTGCGCCCAATAACAGCGTTTAAACAGCGACGTAGAAGTTTGCTCGCCGGATTCCCTCGAAATGGCAATGCGAGAAATAATTCATTCTTCTCAACCGTCGGCACATCAGATTTTAGAGAACGTCCTTCCACATAATTACTGATAAACTTTTCGGGAAAGCCGCTTTGTTTGTGGAGTGTGTGGCGGTCAAGGATGTGAGATCAACTTAAATCACGCACAATAAGTTAGTTTCGTCTAATGTCAGAATTCAGGGAGCCGTGGGGACTAGTTTATTCCGTACACAGGACAGGTTGCCGTAAGTTGGCTGTTTACTTGTAACAAAGATAAGTGGCCGTTCACGGAGAGCGTCAGTCGCGGTGTGTAGTTCACGCGGGAGTGATTGTCTGCGTCAGTAGGTGGGGCTGGTGTCCTCCAAACGGGCCACGTGTTAGATGCGCTGGACCAACACGTGGGCCGCATCGGACTCTGGCAGGCGTTATCTTTGCGCAATAACAAATGCCAACATTCCCGGGATGCGCTGGCAGACCCTGTTGTCAGCAGTCGTCGCACGACCGGGACCACTGTCATCACCCCATTACTTTGTGGTCAAAATCCTGGTCATTTGTGTGTGGACCAGGGGGTGCGGAGTGGAGCGCCAAAGCGAGGATCCGTCCGAGCCATCCACCTGCGGCCTCCCTCGTCTCCGGTCGTCTTGGCTTGGTCTTGACACCGGGCTCAGGCGGGGGAGGAGGAGAGAGTGTCGGTAGATTCAGCGCAAGTCTACTGGCACTATAAACCCCTGCGCAAGTCACCGTCCCTGCTCCCACAATGCAGTCTGTGGGGCACACGGTGGACATCATCGAAATCGATGGTCGAACTGTCGAGGTGGGGCTGACTGGTTGAGTGCTGGTCATGACATTGGACGGATTAGGGGGACGCATAATCAGAGAGGCTCCCGGGTATTAAGTCAGGTCGTCACACGCGCTTGAGGTGATAATAGTTTGTGAGGGCAGTTGGGAGTCACTGCAGCTGGACAGGGGGGGGGTTCAGTTCTAGCCAGCGTGGGGGGCGGCCATGTGTCAGCGGCCTGTCAACGATTTCCGCGGTCATCGAACGATAAAACGGAACCGGAGAAAAGGGGGACTGGAGCGGCTGGCACAAGTGCTTTGTATGGTGGTGAGTTCGATATCCAGCGTAGCTAAAGTATATACTATCTTCGCTCGGCTTGTGAGGCAGCGAATCATGCTTTTGTTTCTGGCTTAGTGGGTCAAAACTGCAGAGCTATGTGTAATGCCTTGTCCATGTTTTCTTATCAAGTACGTTTCTACAAATTGTTCTATGAGGTGTTCTTTTGAGCAGTGCATCAAAAAGGGGGGGGGGGACTCACCGTTCTGTCCTTCCAAAGTAAAAGCTAACGCTGGGTGTCCCTAATCCATTTTATCATGGAGAGTGTTCAAATCAAAATCTTCATTTGCTTTTGCAAAATGCCATCTACATGTCGATCATAGGAATAAAAGTACTTTATAACGGACAGGGCTGGTTCTTTTCTAGATTCGTCCATTAGACTATCACCTTGTAGGGTTCCAATGGGTGAATTCATTGCTACGCCGCCGGCCCGATGATAAAATTGCCCATCTGAAATGATAATTTAACGCGCAGATAAAGAACGTGTACTTTAGGTTTCCAACCGGCATGCCGATTGGGGGATCCTGTCTACC